TCTCCGATTTGGAAACCGTTCGCGATACAGGATTTGTGCTTGCCGAGAATTTTCTCCAGCTGCCCCATAAACCAGCACTATATCCGTTAGTTCAATATTCGTAAATAGTGGCATCGTAAAAAAATATTTAAAAGTAATCGTAACAACACTTTTTACCAACTTGGAAATGACGCGCTCGTGTTAGCCAGATTCGTAAATCAACTAAAATTTTAATAATCTATAGTTTCAAAAATGTATAGTTTAAAAACAATCATTTATCAAATATTCTAGTTTTTTGATAACGAGGGTAGTAAAAACCAGTCTTCGGAAATAGAAATTAATTCGAAAATCTTGGCAACATGGTTATTTCTTACAAGACTAGTTTTCTTATCATCTGACAAAAACTTGCATATTAATTACTGTTGATGTTTAAAATAGGTAAATAAACCTAATTTATATAGGTCATCCTCAACATATCAGTGAAGTACGTTTGTTTTAGAAATAATTTTCAAAAATTAATAACTCCCTTAATAAGGGGTATTTTTAAAAAATAATATTTTTCTACATTCAGTGGGGATTTGCGCAATACCCAGTTTTAATATGTACGTGTATTTCAATAACACCCTGTATAGCAAACTCCAACCTTAAATATCAAATACAGCAAACTCCAATATATATAGCCAATTTAAAATATTATTCAAAATCTTACGGCGATTTTGACTGCAATTTACATAAAATAATTTATTTACACACTTAAAAGCAAAAACAATAATTTTATGTAACGTCCTAATATTTTTTAAATAGTTTTTGTTGTGTAGTGAAAAATTTAGAAAAGTGGACTTTGCTACATTTGATATTAGACGCCTGATTTGATGTAATTGTTTTTTGTCATATTTAATACTGTCGATGTAATTTTTGATTGTCATATTTAATATCTATCCACATACTTTAATTTTCTTTTACTATACGGAGAATGGTCGCACTGCGCAGCTTTCTGAGTGCCTTTTAAAAGGAGATAGAAAACTCCGCCATTTTGAACCCTTATTACGTGTTGCCTACATCCTGGCGCAATATTTTTAATAGGTGCGTTTTAATCATCCGCTTCTGCTTCGGAATGGTCGGTTTTCTTGTTTTAATCTGACAGGTTAAAACGACTAAACCGACAATTCCGGAAGCAGAAGCGGATGATTAAAACGCACCTGATATTTTGCTTGCTGCTGTCAATGTCAGTGAATATTATTTTTGGAGTCACAGTTTATTGCTAAAGAATCAGTTAGCTCACTCGGACCAGTTGAAAGTTCCAAAATAACATCCACTCCAGGGATACAAATTCAGGATACGCAGAAGACTGCTGTTTTATTATAGGCAGTTGTCATATATTGTATTATCCGAGTTGCGCAGTGTATAAACTGTAACATTGAGATCAAAAGTGCCGACGCAGAGTGAACGATCTGGAATCATAGGAATCAAAATGGCCGCGCCCTATGTTGGGCGTGTCGGACCTCTCTCTTGCCCCGTATAGTAATCAAAGTATGTGAGTGTAAACACAATATAGATATATCAAATTACTTGAATTTTTTAATCTTTCTTGGTGAATTTTTGTTTAATTTTGGACGCTAAGGAATATAATGAAAGTTTTATCCATACCGTTATAACTTGACCAGGCTAATTTTTGACAACTTTTAACACTGTCTTCTGCAAAGCGCAGAATTTCAGTTTATGATTAATTACTCTTAATAAGATTCCCTCAAGAACGGGCGGGATGCTGTAACTTTAATTCATCAATAACATTTATGAACGGAAAATCAATTTTCACCCCTTCTGTAATACCCTGTAACTTTCTTTCATAAAAAATGTTGTTTATTTTGACCTCAATTAATCATTGTCCATAGAACTGCCCTGTTATGAATTAAAAAAGGTTTTATTTAACATTCAAAATTAATGACAATCTAATAATGTCAAAACTAAAATTAAAAACGTCCAAATTATCTTGTATGGAACTAAAACCCAAGGTTTTAGTTCTACGTCTTCGTTTCATGCTTTGCTAGGTTATGAGGTTACAACATTCCTCCACGGTCACTCCATTTGCTCAATGAGACGTTGTGGACGTCTGATCGTGCGCTTGCTGTACCTTAAACTCGATGTCGGTGTGGTGGTGGTAGTTTCTTGTGCCCACCATGATTGTCTCTGGGGCGTAGTTCTACTCTCCGTGTTCAATGCTACTTTTGGGTCTATCGATGTTATTGGTGATTTATCTTGACATGGTGGTGTTCTAGGAGGTGGTAAGGGGTTACTGTTGGATATTATTTCTGTACTTGATTTTGACAGCCTGCTCTCCGGTATTTTGGTTGATTTTTCTCTTTCAGTCACCCCGCTAGAGTTATACAAAGGGATTTTATTACTGGACGATTCAATGTCTTCCATATCCCGAGGGCGAATGTGATCTGCATGTCTACGCTTCTCTATACCTTCTGGTGTCTGTACAATGTAAGAATATCGGTGCGTTCGTTCAGATATAATTGCTGGTTTCCATTTTGAATCAGTTTTGGTTCGCACATAAACTGGGTCACCGGGTTGATAGGTAGGAGTTTGATGGTCACTATTTATATTAGCTTGTAGATGTTTGAATTCTAACATTTGTCTCGTATTTGGTCGTGCATTAGCTAGCACACAAGTTAACTGGCGTCCAAACATCATGTGGGCAGGTGATTTGCCAGTAGTACTGTGAGGTGTATTGCGATATGTGAAGAGAAATTCATTAAGCCTTTCTATAAAATGTTTTTTATCTTCGCTGGCAGCCATTCTGGTCTTGAAAGTACGTACAAGTCGTTCCGCCAACCCGTTAGTCCGTGGATGATATGGTGATGACGTGACATGTAGGATTCCTCTATTTTTGCAGTACTCTTGGAAATCTTGTGATGTAAACTGTGGCCCGTTATCAGAAACTATTATTTTTGGTAATCCAAATGTTGTAAATATGTCTTCGAGTTTTTCACATAACTTTTGTGTGGTGATTTTCATCATAGGCTTTATCTCGATCCATTTGGAGAGTGCATCAGATAAAACAAACCAGTATTTCTCTTCAAATGGGCCCGCAAAATCGACATGTATCCTTTCCCAAACTTTGTCAGGTATAGACCACGAGTAGACGGGTAGTTCGGGACCATTTTGTCTATTTGCTTGACAATTTTGACACCGTTTGACATAAGTATCTATGTCGTCCTCCACTGATGGCCACCACACATAAAATCTCGCCAGTGCCCTCATTGCGGATATGCCGGGATGTCCTCTGTGGAGGTATTTCAGTGTTGCCTTACGTAGTGTTTCGGGAATTACAATCCTTCCTTGCCACATGATTATTTTCTTTTCTACCGACAGCTCGTTGCGTTTTCTAAAGTATGGTTTGAGTTCACTTTTTTGGTATTGTGAGCCATTCCAGTCAGTACTTATACATTGTTTTACTTCTTTCAGAATTGAGTCATTGTTTGAATGTTCTCTAATGAGGCTTTCTGTTAGTGTTAGATCATCAAACTTGTTCGACTGCAATAGGTTAGTAATTTTTTTTATAGTGGTTTCTTCTTTCGACATTTTCTCTTCTGGATTTGGTAATCTAGAGAGAAAGTCGGCCAGGTTATTATTTTCGCCCTTTTTAAAAACAATGTTATAGTCGTAACACCCGATTAATAACGCCCATCTTACAAGGCGATTGTTCACCAATTTCGGTAAGTTGCGGTTAACTCCCAGTAGGTGGGTTAAGGGTTTATGGTCAGTTACTAAGGTGAAATGTATACCTCGAAGGTATTGATCAAATTTTTTTACGCCAAAAAATATTGCCAGTGCTTCGCGGTCAATAACAGAGTACTGGCTTTCTGCTTGTTTTAATTTTCTCGAAGCAAAAGCTATAGGCTGTTCTTGATTTCGAATGACGTGGTATAAAACGGCACCTACGCCTTTCTCAGAGGCGTCACAAGCCAAAAAAAGTGGTTGCTTCTCATCAAAAGCTATTAGTGGTTTGGTGTTTGCTATAAGTGCTTTTGTTTTCTCGAATACACTGTTCTCGTGTTCTGTCCATTTCCACCTTTGCCGCTGACCCGTAAGAGTATGTAGATCCGCACAGATACTATGAAGATGTGGGATGAAACGTTCATAGAAATTTAACAGTCCGAGGTATGATCTAAGTTCTTTAGTATTTTCAGGAGCCGGGGCCTTCAAAATTGCTTCAATTTTAGATTTGGTTGGGCGTACTCCATTCTTGTCGATGACATGCCCTAAATATTCGATTTCTGGTTGTAGGAATGAACATTTTTTAAGGTTTACTTTTAGTCCAGCTTCTGTAAGTTTCGTGAACACAGTAGACAATGTCTGTAGATGTGTGGAATCGTCTTTTCCGGTCACTGCAATATCGTCGAAATAAACCGCTACGTTTGATACACCGTCCAACAGTTTATCCAGGAAATGTTGAAATACTGCTGGGGCTGTTGTGATACCAAAAGGCATCCTATTGTATTCAAAATACCCTTTGTGTGTGGATATTGTCGTATATTTCTTCGACTCTGGCGCTACTTCAAACTGTAAATAAGCATCTTTTAAGTCTATTTTTGAATATTTGTCGCCGTATGCTAGTTGCCGTCGAAGTTGGTCGAAAAGTGGTACTGGGTGGGTATAGGGTTCATTTTTGTCCTCGTCGCCAATTAATGTTATGAATTAAAAAAGGTTTTATTTAACATTCAAAATTAATGACAATCTAATAATGTCAAAACTAAAATTAAAAACGTCCAAATTATCTTGTATGGAACTAAAACCCAAGGTTTTAGTTCTACGTCTTCGTTTCATGCTTTGCTAGGTTATGAGGTTACAACATGCCCATGCTATGATAACTTGAAATCTTGATATTTATCCTATTAAAATGGTTTTTCTAGTTAAAATATTATTAAAGATACTTCTTGTGTCTACCATTATCTTAATAATGTTAAATAGCTTACTAATTAAGAGCACTTAATTTAATACTGTAATAAAAACTTCATGTAATATAACGTTTATTGTAACAGAAGAAAACCTATACCTAAAATTCAATAAACAAGAAAACTACAGTCAACGTTATAACTTCCTATCCTCCTTCTGCCTTCTCTCCTTTAACTCCCTCTCCTGTTTGATCATTTCCTTTATTCTTCTCTTCATTTCCTTAGATTTCTCCATATTCTTTGCCCTCCTTTCCAACCTCTCTTCCTTCAAACACCTCACCATCAACCGATCAAATTCATTACAGGCTCCTATGAATTTTTTGAATGGGTAATCTTTGTGGCACTGTTTTAGCAGTAAGATGAAATCGTTGCATTTGCAGGAATGCAGGTGGGCTGCAAGGTCTGTATGCATTGTTACTAAATAGTATTAGAATTTGTTAAGAACCGCAACACTTCGATTTTTTGACGTTTTCTTGACAGGAATCAAAGACAGATCGTAACAAGGATAGGTAACTACAATTATGATGCGCGGAAAAATGAGGTTGAGTAATAACCGTTTTAAAGCAATGAACCAGAAAACCCTTTAGTTATACCCTTGGTTGTCCTTGAAATCACGTGACTAAAGCCTGAAATAAATATGCTCGAAGCTAAAGCCCTAAAAAGATAACCGGTTATTGTAGCTATAAGGCTTAGAGATTAACGCGGACATGGTATACTCCTTCCTGACTATATATGTTTTAAGCTATAAAGACTAGACTAATTGAGCTTTTTTAATTCACCGCAAGGGCGGTAGTGCCAGTACCGCTGTTCAAAATATTAATGGAAATTTGACATTTTTTTGTCAAAATAATAAAAATAAACTTGTTTATAGCTAAATAAAGCACATAACACACTGTTGTATTTATTTCTAAATAAGTCTTGCATGTTTTAATTCATAAATTATTTAATTTTATCTATATAAAATGCAATTTAGGTAGGTATGACCCAATTCGAAAATATTTGTTAAATGCTGAAATTTGGCAAGTACAATTTCATGTCTAAATTTTTTTGAAATATACCTAAATACAGTAGTTAAGAACAAAATAAAACACAGTTAACAGACTTTTTATTGTTATAATACAAGCATAGAGGGAGATTTGAGAATGAATATGATATTGGCCTCAGGGTCTCATAATATTTGGAAATATCTTCTAAAAAGTGTAGAACAGCATCATCTCTAGAAAGTGCTTTATCGGCCTTAGGAACGATATATATGCTACCACTGTTCTAAGCGTTTAGGATCCTAAAAAAAAATTTACAATGACAAAATTGGGATTCAACAAAAAATAATAGTAGCAATATAGTAGATAATGGGCGCATTGGACCAGTGTTTATAGGTCCCCTGCGCTGCGCAAGCGTGGCCACAGCTCTGAAGTTGGCTAACCTACCGTATGTCAAAAGAGTTGCCAACCTAGCAGTGGTACCAACTAACATGTCAACTGTCTGTAAGCGCCTTACACCATTCTTCTGATAGCATAGAAACAAAGAACGTTTAAACGAGACGCTTTACACATGCCGTTGACAATTTCATCTATCAAACATCATAGTACGTTCGAAAGCGTTCGAAAACGTCGTTTTTCGAAGTTTTTTCGACGTTTTTCAACTTTTTCGACGTTTTTCGACGTTGTGGTCTCCAAAGGAGCAGAAGTGAAAGGTGTCTATCATAGCGCAAGCTGTCATTCAATGTCGGAAAACGTCAAAAAACGTCGAAAACGGTGAAAAATGTCGAAAAAATGTCGTAAAAGACGTTTTCGAAACGTAAAAAAAGTCGAAAACGTTTTAAAACGTCGAAAAAATGTCGAAAAAATGTCGAAAAACATCGGAAAACGTAGGAAAACGTCAAGAAAACGTTGAAAAATGTTTAATAGATGACATTGTCAACATCATTTATCGAGCGTCTCGTTTAAACATTCTTTGTTTCTATGTTATCAGAAGTGGAGATAGCCGAATGGTGTAAGGCGCTAACAGATGGTTGACATGTTAGTTGGTGACACTGCTAGGTTGGCATCTCTTTTGACATACGGTAGGTTAGCTAACTTTAGAGCTGTGGGCGCGCTTGCGCAGCGTAAAGGGGGCTATAAACACGGGGCTCAAGGCGCCCATTATCTACTCAATATTTCATTGTTCTATAGACTAGCAGTTATTTTTTACATTAATTCCAATTTTCAATCAGAGAATAACTTAATTAATAGCATTTTAAAGTTGATTGAATATTAGATGCATTTATATTCAAGCTAGAAAAAAAAAGAACACTCTCACAATGTTACCATTAAGTGAAGAAACGCCGCAGGTTTTTGAACATGTGACGTCAATGCCTTCTTATCGTAAAATTACTTTAACACTGCAATAATTGGAATAGATTGACCAATCAGAGCAGTTATCTTCCTCCAATATCCTAATAACTCTAGCTAGTGTTCTAAGCGAAATTATGATTAAACTTCTAATTCGTAATTTTCCCATCTACGAAGGTTGGAGTGCTTTTTGGCTTGGAAAATGCAGGATTTCGAATAATCGAAGATAATTCCTGACTGGCGTTCTGTAGCCGCTGCCGCTGCCGCCTTGAAAATCCGACACAGCTGTAAAGTGGATCATTAATAAGAAAATTTCCATTCGCTTTTCAATTTAATTTTAAACAACGGGAAATAAACCCGTGAGTTATTGGGTGCATCATCCTCAGACGTACACCATTAACGGGGCTTTGAAATTTCAGAATTGCAAGCTGCATGATCCAATTACTCGAGTCACTAGTTAAATTGGATTTATTTTGTTGATGTTTCGCTGAAAATTGACTGAGGTATTGGGTTAGTATTCGTTAGAACAAAGTTCGGAAAAGTTTTAATAGATTATTAATAATCAAAAATATCGGACAGAATAGATACGCCTTGTTTACAATAAATGTGTCCGCGCCATCTTTTGACAGCACGCTCTTCCTATGTTATCAGATATTTCATCAAATATCCTGCAGTAAATTTGCATTTAAAAATGTACTATTTCCTTTAATATTATCTATTTAAAAAAGAAAAATAAAAAGCTGAAAGCATCAATATGAGTTTTTATTCATTACAATCAATAAAGATTTTTATTTATCGCCTTTTACACGTGTACCTATCGTATGTTGATATTGAACATTGTGGTTCATAACCTTTGGCAATCTAAGACATTTAATTGACGGTGACTTCAAACAGTATTAAGTCCACGTTTTTCGTCTTTTGAAATTATTATTGCTCTATTAATATTTGTATCTGCTTTTTCCAATGGCGATGTGTATTAAGTCCGATTTCTTCAAATTTACAAGATTAGTGTAGAAATTTGATGTATTAAGTGAAATGTGAGGTTAGGTGACTGGACTTAATACTGTTTTGTTTTAGTGTACTGCAGTTGTCATAATATTAAGTCATATTTTGTTGTTCGTGAAGTTAATAGGAAATATTTGATACTTTCATTTTTCAATGTTTGATAATTGAATATGGGGTCACGATGATGACATCAAGAGGCTAACAAATATTACAAATGACACTAAGACAATACCATCTTTTATCAACACAAGTTTCGTATTTGTTTCGCTTTTAGCTTTTTTTGCGGATTACACGCAAGATAATATTATAGAAAATGCTAAGATTGTCACTAGTAATACCACTAGAGGTCAAATTATTTCCTGATATTAATTTGACCTCGCGTGGTATTCGGTAAGAAAATTCCACGCCGAATTATGGTTGAAAATTAAATATTTTTAAAATTTATTTTTCGTTTCTCAACAATGCAAATTATTTTCTCCAAGTCACCAGTGAAACATAAAAGGTGTTGTCGCCTTGATTGTTGAGTTGTCATGGTAACTAAGTGAGACCCTAACCTCGAATATAATTTCAGTTTTGAAGTTGTCAAGCGGCCCGACGTAAAAAAATGTTTCGCTGCAATTATTTAGGCCTTCAAATTGCTTATTTCTACTCATTGTAGTTGCATGGGAATACCATTTGAAAATAGAAAATAGTATATTCTTTAATTTTACGTAAGTTTTGAATAACTACAAGTGGTAGAAAATTGTTTTTCTGCGTTTTTATTAACATGCGTTATGAGCGCTTTAAAATGGTATGAAATTCATAACCAGCGTCAGCAAGCATCAATCGTAGGAGGCTGTGATCATTGTATTTTGACAGTTCAAAACATTAAATAACTCGCGTTTTGTTGCGATAAAGAATATTGCACAGCAAGTAAAACCAACAAATTTACCTATTTGTTTAAAAATGAATCGATTTGAAAATCATACGCTATGCAAAATATGCGTGAAATTGTCTGATGTAATGATCAATCATTGCACCATGACTTACTTACTCGGATTAATAGAGGATTGTGGCTCCAACTTGAAAAACGAAAATTTGTTCCGAATTGTCCACGAATATTTGCACCTAAACTACGCAAAATTCAAAGTGCTGAATGGGAAAAAGGTGAATAAATTAGTGTCTTAATATTATATATATTTTATTAGACATAGACACATAATTCAAAGCATCCAAAGTCCTGCATTTTCGCCATTAAGAAGAAAAGAAGTGGCCGAAGAATATAGAAAACACCTTAGCATTGTAACTAAAATGTATCAAAACTAAACCTATTATGTGAACAAATAAAAACCAGTCTGTCAAAAATGGTCTGTTATTGTAAACGTCAAAAAATTTCCAGTATAATTCGCTGTTGGGTACCCCACGAGAAAAAAATTTTCACTAAAATACCTTCGTTGCCATGGTGATCTGTCAAAAACACGTATTTTGATTGGTTCAAAATTACAGGTGTGGAATTTTCATGTAAATATATCCATCCACTAATTGCACGCATGAAAATGCGAAAATTCTTGCAACCTGTTGTGCTAATGCTGCAAGGGGTGCTATTTCTTTGAATAACGATGTGTACAATACTATCATTGTTAGTAATAACAATGTGATTTTTTCCAATACCGCAGCAATTCTCAGTGATAATACAGGTGAGTCTCGGTTACCAGAAAGCTCACCAGAACATTTTATTCAAAGCAATAAAAATAAAGATAAAAATAACGAATTCGAGAAAACTTTGAAAATAAAGACGATGGACCTCACTATAGTCTATTTTTACAGTTAAAATATTTTTTGAAGTTATTCCTCGAGTATACACTTATATTTTCACCTAATTAACCTGCTTATAACTTCTAAACAGCTGAAGGTAAACAAGTGCAATTTTTTCTAAAATGTTTTATTTTTCCACAAGGTATGTTAAGAACATTGTGTCAAACGGGTTATGTAGGTATAAGGGTTTAAATTTTGACTTTTAAACAACGTTACGTTCATAAATAATAATTTTAATATAAAAACTACTTCTTACCTACAAATCCAAATCAGAATCGAAATCAGAAGATGAACTGTCGCAACCAATATTTACAATGAGTGGCTCGATCATTTCATCAGTAATATTGTCCAACTTCCAGATTTTCTCTTCTTCTTTAATCGTATGATTTACTGCC